CTGTCTGTCTGTCTGTCTTTTTTCTTTTCTTCCTTTTCTCAAAGTATTGTTGCTTTTGTGAAACAGCATTTCATGCATCTAATTTATAATTTCATCTTCTGTCTAATTGCAAACATGGGTCATAAAATGATTAATGATCCATATCATAAATCAACCCCCAGTCTATAAAGAGGAGATGTCATTTCCTTTAAACATCAGTTTATTAATCTTCCTCAATATCTTCATTACTGTCTGTCGTATTTGACTCACYCTCCAACAGTAAAGTATTGGATTAGCGACAGAGTTCGAAAGAAAAACCGTTATTGCAACTTGTTCCACGTGTCGATARCCCTCCTCTCCTATCGCAGAATACACCTTCGCTTTGGTGATCACCAGTAACACTAATGGCAGCCAACTCATCAGGAAGAACCCGTTTACCAGATACATGGTCTTGATGGATTTGCCATGCTTCGGTAATGGCCCAGAATGACCAGCAGATAGTATCGACCGATTCTGGTCCTGAATTTGTTTTTTGTGGCGTCGAACGATGAGGTATATACGAACATAAACTACAGACGAGATACCAAAACACATCAAAGCACCAATCGTTCCGAGAAGCCTAATCACTTCCACTCGAAGAAAATAAATCACAATGACTATTCCTGCGTCTATCCATAACGACACGACGACTTTGACCGTACGTGGTACCGTTACGATCGCTGGATAGCGAAGATGAAGCCACAGGGCTAAGTATCGATCGAGTGAGATAARCGTCATCCCCGCCATAGAAATCCCTGCAAACACCAGAACCGATAGATGTAAACCTGTTTCCAAGACTATTGATTTTTCACGGAGTTGAGCGCTCATAAAGAATGGAAGAGTGAACAGACCAACTCCAAAATCTGCAGTTGCACGGTTGCACAAAAGAATGTTTGAAGGAGCGTGAAGTCGAGGCGTCGTTACTACTGCTATCAGGATAAGGGCATTACAAATTATCGTGGCAATACAGATAATGATATTGACCACCACGATRTAAATGCTAAACTCCTCCATCGTTTTAATTCAGTGCTAAGGTGAATAAACTCTTGAACAGCTTCTGCAGTAAGTTGAAACGCTTTCAGGAATTTACTTAGTATCTTAAAGGGAATATTTAGAACTTTGTGTGAAAGCTTCCAAAGAATTTTTTTAAAAGTTCTGTTAATGATGGTTCTTTTCGATCAGWATTTCAGTTATTTCGCTTCGAGCTTATTTGGAGAAAGAAATTACGYTGATACGTCTTAAACCATGCCATACAAGACGTTTATATAACCAAACACATTCATAATAACATTCACCTCTTTGTTATTTTTTTCTATTATTTTCAATTTACCGGAGACAGGTTTTCCTCCTCCAAGATGTCCTTATAATGGAGAAAAAAGAAGTGATTTGTAACTACTACTTGACACTCAAATTCAATTCTGCTTTTAAATATTTGAGTCCTTGGTCTAAGATAGAGGGTTTGTCAAGAGCTACGTAAAGATGACACGCGTGTTTTCTTCCTAGATGATGTTTATTCCATAGTTAATTCCCCTCTATTAACTATGGTTTATTCTTAACATTCGAAAACGGATTTGTTTTCCGTTTTCAAAAAACTCTCGTCCACCAGTAGCGTTTTCTATTTCTTCATTTCAAGGCCAATCTGCAAAGAAGAAATTCCGTTTCATTKAAATATATATCCGGATACGTATGGACAAGCCCTTGTGAAAGGGTTTTTTAAAAGTGCATGCTTAAGCCCACGTTCTCAGTTCTCACACGATTCCGTCCATAAGTACGATAAGTACTTTTATGGTGGTGACCGCTGTCCTTCAAATTTTTGAAATACATATATTCTTCTAGGATCAAACGTTTTTTGATCTTCATACTGTATGCATGCACTTCTTGCACTCCTTTAAAATTCAAGAGTTTGAACCGAGTGTCATTCGAATCCTTTTAGCGCTTAAGCTTTGCCTTTCACATGCTTTSAGTTCGACCTCGTCGAGCTGCGCCACTGCTGTACTTCTCGAAGGTGATTAGCGATGACAAGTCTCCCTTCTGATGTTTTATTCTTATTTTGGGAATCATGCACTAAAGTGCCGCAKCATTAKTCAACACGATGCGGCCCCTGATTTYTCCCCTCATTTGAAAGCCGCTTTATGTGGTGTCTTCTACTAGGACGAAAAGTGCTCTAAATGTTAATGCACATTGGGTTTTAACAGATCCAAAGGAATTCTAGTTTACTCTAGCTTTGCGCTAAGGTCCGCCGAAAATTCGGAAGGATCTGAACGAGAGGTATCAAATATTGCATGTTTGGCAGTGGCTTAGCAAGAGTACCAGAATTGGACAGGCGAGCACACAGTGCTCTTTAGCGCGAAAAYCAATCTCMSAGGTAGCCCAACAAAATAGGAAAACTTACGACTTTWAGCCAAACTTTTTTTCRGGGGGAGRGGGGAGGGAGCGGTCGMCCCCTTGCTAGTATAGAATAATAACCTACAATTTTAATCCTTTTTTTCAGAAAAATGGAAGACATTGAGGCTAATCAGCCAGCTGGCTCGATAGAGCTCGACTCTACATGTAAGTCACCCAGACCAATATGTGACCAGAGGTTGAGGRAAAAATCTGAGTCGAGCTGGCGTTGCAGTGCATTTTGGAGCTAGCTGTTTTGGGGTATAAAATAGACGCCATCTTGGAAATATGTCCCWTAAACAATCCCACAATGCACCGCAATGCAAATTCGACCCAGTWTTTTTCCTGRACCTCGGSAAAAATGGCTTTTARCAGATGGCATAACCTAAGACGTACATSTAGACGAAAAACATTCTGCCGGAAGGATTATATATCATACTGTTATTTATGATTACCTTGTTATTTATTTCATGATTAACAAAATCTTAATTTAGCCTATTTTTCCCTATTTTTGGAAACGAAAGCCTTGACCTTACCTCTCTCATTTTTCAATTGCCTTATTTTATTATGACGTCGCAAGAAAATAATCTTTTTTTTTTTAACGCTAAAAGAATCATTGTCGTGGGTGGGTTACAAAACAGGAACAACACTAAAAAAACTGTAAAATATTGTATTTTTTAGAAGGCCATAATAGCCACTAAATACCGTATATATTGTAGGATAAACACCGGTTTGTAAAATCTTTGAAAACCAGACATATCGGCAGAGATATCAATTCCCATTTTCAGAGTAAAATTATTCTAAATTCATATTGTTTTTTTACCATTCTGTCCCTCTCGTAAACAAGCTTTGCCGTCTTTGTGAAATAGGGCAATTCCTCTTCATTATTTATTGCCTTTTGCATTTTTGTGTCTACTTCATTTTCCCACCTTTTCTTTCTTCGCTAGATGTTGCACGCGAACTAGAGACAAAAGAAGAAAAAAATAAGCCGTTCTGTTTTGCCTTGGGGCCTGTGTTTGATAATACGGCAAAAAGGACTTATTACGTCAGCTGTGGTGAGTCCATTACACATTCAAAATATGATTTTTCAAGTAATCAAAGCTTGTGTCTAGMTCCTTAATTTTTTTATCGTAGGTAGTGCGGGATCCCTATGTATAAGGATAACACTTATCTTGTACGGGATCCCTTTATATAAGGCTAATACTCCTGTTTTTTATCGTAGATATTGTGGGACTCCTGTGTATAAGGATAACACTTATCTTGTACGGGATCCCTTTATATAAGGCTAACGCTTGTATCTTTTATCGTAGATTCCCTGTCATTGTGTATAAGGATGGCACTCATCTTGTGCAGGATCCTTGTTTACAAGGACAACCTTGCATCTCGTATCGCAGAAAGTGCGGAATCCCTGTGTAAAAGGATGACACTTGCGTTGGATCCTTGTGTATAAGGCTAATACTTGCATCTTGTATCATAGATAACGAAGAAGACAAGCTGTCCTGGATGGAGGTATTGAGTGCATCGATAGAAACAGATCTTTTCTCTTCGGAGACATTTAACGAAAATAGAAGAAGCGTTCGCTCAAGAATGGACAGACGGGTTAGTATAAGGCACACCTTTCCTTCATGTGCAAACAAAGAAAATTTTTTTTGTCCTTTTGAACATTAAACATTTGAACAWTTTTCCTTCTCTTTAGACAAGAAAGAAACGCCACCAGAAGACCTTATCAGCTCCAGCGCAGATGTCTTCAAAAGTCTTGCAAGTCAGAGATGAATATTTGAACCCAAGTTGGCGAATGGAGGTAAAAATAGCCTGTGTTCTTTGCTCTTCGCGTTCATAATTTTACATTGGATTCTTCTMGCTTATATAAATATATCTTAGTGGCTCCGGCTGTACCTCACTCCACTTCCCCTCCAAGGACCAACTGAAGACTCACTAAACCAGAGTTTTGTGCGGATGCAACAGGCTACTGATTATCTTTTGTTTTCGTATATTTATCGATATTCTTGAGTTTTTTTCTTTCCATAACCATTACCTTATTAGGGAGCGTTTATTATTTATGGGGTGAGGGGGGATTTTACATTTTGAATTAATATTTTTGGGTGCTCCCATKCAAACCTAACATTGTTTGTTAACGCTCCTTTAGTGTATAGAGTGTGTGCAACCATGTGACTCAAAATCCCTTGAGATATGAATAACAATGAAACAGCCGCCGTCTTGRTTGATCTAAYAAGAGAAGCTAAYGAGGAATGCGTTGTTATCGTCAACCAAGATGGCGGCAATGACGTCACATGCACCTGATCTATTTCATTGTATTTTACCATTTTCACCCAGCAATGGAGATGCCTTTGTTCTGTCATCAAGGAAGCAATATGGAAAAAAACTGACAGCAAAAATGGCGTGACTCTCTCACGACTGAGCTTTAAACATGAATCATACGCCGTGATAAAGGTAGCCTTCTGGTAACCTTAGAAACGAAAGCACATATTCAACATATACGTAGTATATGGCAGTTGTCGTATAAATATGAAATGAAAATAACCATCCACATATCGGAGCTAAGATCTTCGAGTTTTCGAGCTTATATGGAGCGCCCTAAAAAGAGAAGAAGGTTTTTCTCCGGTTTNATGGAAAAAAACTGACAGCAAAAATGGCGTGACTCTCTCACGACTGAGCTTTAAACATGAATCATACGCCGTGATAAAGGTAGCCTTCTGGTAACTATAGAAACGAAAGCACATATTTAACACATACGTAGTATGGCAGTTGTCGTATAAATATGAAATGAAAATATCGTAGCCAAAATCTTGGAGTTTTCGAGCTTATGGAGCGCCCTACAAAGAGAAGAAGGTTTTTCTCCGGTTTGTCCTCCCTCCGCAAATTAAAGCCTAAGCTAAATTCCAATGTGGTCTGTGAGAGTGGCCAAGTTAGACTATTATCCCAGAGGTTGTCCAGTTTCATGGTTCGATCTGTGAGCTAGCCGTGACCTGACTTTGTTCACCCCACAAGTTGTTTCAGTGTATCGATAAAATTGAAGTTTTTTAGTGTATTTGTTTGTTTTAATGCCAAAAGTATCAATTAAAGTTTGAAGGTTGATCAACGACTACTAACTAGTTGTTTGTCTTCTCTTTGTTTTATTACTGCAGATTGAAGGGTGTATTCCTGTTCCTCTTGAAGTAACGTATGATTATTTACTGACTGCTGTGAGACCTGGAGGAAAGGTATGATAAGTGCATTGAAAACTGAGGTCCCCGTTGCTCTGATTGCCATTAATTAATCAGTACGTCAAATGCTAGTTCCAATGGACCATTCTTAAAATTATGTTGCGAGGCTAACATACAGGGAAATACAAAGAAATGCCACAAATGTCATCGAGAAAAAKTGTGATTTCTTTTGTATTTTCATGTTAGCCTCAAATTCATTATAATTTTRAGTATCGTCCATAAACCCTTTCAGCTTTGGCGTAATGTTTTTCCCATTTCAGACCATCGTGTATCCATATTTGTGTGTCTTCTTATGCATTAACGTTAAAGAATGAAATGATACTCTAGGGAATGACATATGGTCTGAAATCGGGGGAAACATTACTGCCAAGCTGAAAGGGTCCCAGGGGTGGTAAGAGGGGTAACTAGTCACCCCCTTTTCACCCCCTTTTCGGTCAATTTTCTCAGTATATCGTTAGTAACAGTCACCCCCTTTTTCATCGAATTCCTGGTAAAACCTTCGTAATAGTCACCCCCCCCCCCCTTCTAAAATTCCTGGATCCGCCCCTGGGTCCATCTCTACTAGCAGACAAAGTCCCGTAGGTGACCGCTTAAACACATAC